CCTTGGCCACATCAATGTCATAGAGCTTCTTTACAGCTTGTTTAATTTGGTGCTTGTTGGCCTTGACATCCACAGTGAACACAAGTGTGTTGTTACCTTCTATCTTCTTCATAGCTGACTCAGTGGTCAGGGCAAATTTGATGATGGCATAGTGGTCAAGCTTGTTTCTCCTGGGGGCACTCTTCCAGGGGTATCTGGCCTGCCTTCGGAGTCTCAGCGTCTTAGGCCACCGGAACGTGGGTGACGTGCGGATCTTCTTCTTTTTTTTGGCTGTGGACGCCCTTCAGGACTGCCTTCTTGGCCTTTAATGACTTTGCTTTGGCTTCAGTTTTGAGAGGGGCAGGGGCTTCCTTCTTAGCTTTTGGCGCCATCTTCATAGACCTGAATTATATTCTGTGGTATTCATATGCCATATTTTACATAACCATTCTCTAGTTAATAGATATTGGGTTGTTTCCATTGTTTTAGGTATTGTGAACAAAATATCTGAATAATCATGGATTCTTTAGACATGTGCTCTTTTTCTCTTGGGTATAGATACCTAGCAGTGAAATTGCTTACTCATGTGGTAACTCTATGTTTTAACATTTTAAGAAACCATCAAAAATCAGAAATAAACCATTACATTATGATCAACTGATTTTTTTACAAGGATACCAAGGCTTTTCAGTGGAAAAAGAATCATCATTTCTACAATTGGTACTCGGATGCTAGAATAACTACATGCCTATCCTTATGACAGGAGAGCCCTGTTTTGGGCTTCACATAGTAGTGATTCTTGGTATGACACAGAACTTGGGCAGTGTTTTCTTCTGTTGTACTCAGTGAGGCAGAGTCTACTTAGGAACACCTAACAAAAGCATTGTGGAATATTTTGAAGTCAAGAAGTGTAAGTCCTTTTTTGTTCATTTTCAAGATAGTTTTGATAGTTTTGACTCTTTGGGGCTCCTTGCAGTCCATGATTTGGAGATGTAACAGATACTTACAACCCTGATAGCAACTTTATTCTTTGAGGCTTTTTGTTTTAAGTAAAAAAGTTAGTTTCAAAGGTACAGCATAGGTGTGGCTGTAATGTTCTGTAGAAGTGCAGTTTTAGTAAGGTGAAAAACAGTGTACTAGTAACTTTTGTTTCATGTTTTCATTTTCATGTCATTTCAGAGTTCCCTACTGATTTTCTTGATGAGAAAATAGTCTACCAGGACTATATAAATAGTGGAAACTGGCCTGAAGATCCAGACTTTTGTTACCAACCAGAGCAAGTGTTAAATCCTCTTCAGTCTGGTAAATGCTGTTTTGTCTTTGTCTATTCAGTGTGTGATAAGACTTAAACAAGAACAAGTTACAGCAGCCACTCAGATAACACTTTACACCTAATGTATCTTGTAAAGCACAACCAAGGAATAATTGTCTCCCCTGGACAATATATATGACTATTACTTCCATATCCCTTCATCACAGGTGTTTAATGAGTTTCTCCTTCAAAACTTCATTTGAATAAATTATGTTAAATTAATATACATTGAAGACTTGGTAATAGAAACTTAGTATCTTTGTTCTTCTTGAAGAAATTGTTACAATAACAATACCATAGGTATTTTATAGATGTTATCAAAGCTTGTTTTCTCTTTTTGGTAAAATCTTCTAAGCTATACGGAATTTATTTATACCAGAATTGGTAGAATTAACTTAATCTTAATTAACAGTGGCACCATGCAATATTTGTCCTTTTGTGACTGGGATATTTCACTCAGCATAATGTTCTCCAGAGTCAAACATTTTGAATAATATTGGATGAGTTCCTTGTTTTTCAATGCAGCATAGTATTCCATTGTGCGAATATACCACAGCTTCTCTAGCCATTCGTTTGTTGATGGGCACTTAGGTTGTTTGCAACTCCTTGCTATTGTGAACAAAGCTGCAATAAACATGGGTGTGCATATATCTGCTTGGGTGTCAGTTATGGTCTCTTCGGGGTATATTCCCAGTAGTGGAATTGCTGGGTCAAATGGTATCTCTATTTGCAACTTTTTGAGAAAGCGCCATACTGCTTTCCACAGGGGTTGCACCATTTTACACTCCCACCAACAGTGAATAAGGGTTCCAGTTTCTCCACAACCTCGCCAGCATTTATTGCTTGCTGTTCTGTTAAATTTTGCTATTTTGACTGGGGTGAGATGATATCTCATAGTTGTTTTAATTTGCATCTCTCTTAGGCCAAGGAATTTGAGCATTTCTTCATGTGCTTGTTAGCCATCTGAATGTCGTCTTCGGTGAAGTGCCTGTTCATATCCTGTGCCCATTTTTCTGTTGGATTCTTTACCTTTATCTTGTTGTGGTCAAAATTTCTTAAAACAAAAAACATTACCATTGCTATTGCTTACCATAGGGTCAGAAGCGACCCTCCTGCAAGTTTTCAGAGGTAGTTAATCCCAATGAGAGAGACTGCGCATCCTTCTCCCGTCGAGCAGCTGGTGGCCTCGAAGCACATGCCTTCAGGATTGCAGCACAACTTCTTGCCACTACACCATCAAAGCTCCCTACGATAATTCTCCCATGTTGTTGTGTACCATAGAGTTGGAACTGACTCATAGCTGACCCTCTGAGGTTTTCAGAGGCAGTTAATCACATGGGAGGAGATTGCCCATCCTTCTCCCGTGGAGCAGCTGGTAAGCCTTGAACCATGTACCTTCAGGATTGCAGTGCAGATTCTTTTTTTTTTTTTTTTAAATTTTATTTTGTGTGTGTGTGCGTGTCCGTCAAATCAGATCTGACTGGTACAGGAGGAGATTGTCCCTCCTTTCCCGGCAGAGCATCTGGTGGATTCGAACCGTGCTCCTCTGGGATTGCAGTGCAGATTCTTCCCACTAGGCCACCAGAACTCCCTACCTCTACCATGTTTTTTTGTTGTTGTTATGCGTCATTGAGTCACATGTGCCTCATAGTGGTCCTATATACAACAGCTCTAAACCCTGCTTATCCTGTGCCAATCTTACTATGACAGCAGCCTCCATTATCTGAGTCACTGAATCAATCCATCTCATCGAGGGTCTTCCTCTCCTGTGCTGTCCCTTTATCCACTTTCGTCTGACATACTTTGGACAAGTTGCGAGGAGGGACCAGTCCTTGGAGAGGGACATCATGCTTGGGAGGGTGGAGGGACAACTCTCCCATAGCACCTAGATATTCCACTTCTAGATATTTCCTAAAATAAAAAAAAAAACACACATATATCTACAGAGATTTTTACAGGAGTTTGACAGCCACAAAGAAGAACACTACAAATGTCCATCACAATGTGATGGAGAAATAAGGAAAGAGTGGTCTACCCCTACTGTGGAATACTACTCAGCAGAAAAAGGAAAGCACTCGTGAAGACTACTGACTACATGCCCTTAGATTTCCGTTGGTATAAATCCAAATTAATAACGCAGGACAAAAAGAATTAAAAAACACTAGAACAATACATATTGATGGGGAACTTCTAGAAATTCAAGCTGGACTCAGAAGATACTAGGAAACAAAGAATATCATTGCTTCTGTCAAATGGATCTTAGCCAAAAGTACCAGGAAGGTACTTATTTGCGTTTTCTTGACTGTGCAGAGGTATTTGATTGTGTGAATTCTAACAAAATATGGCTAACATTGAGACGAAGGGGAATCCCAGAACACTTAATTGTGCTTCTGTGAAACACAGTTATGTGAAATACTCAATTATGCTTATGCATAAGCCAAGAAGTAGTTATTCAAATAAAACAAGAGATCATTACATAGCTAACCATTGTATAGTTTGTTGTGGAAGTGGCATGAGGAATGCCTCCAAGGAATAGTATCACCACCTTCATGTCAGAGTTAGCCAGGTTGAGAGCAAATTTTTTTTGTTTCTACTTTCATATGACTTCTCTTGCCGTCTGAACATAATAAAACACTTAGCTTTAGTTCCAACTAAACTTGGTATACAGCATGTGATGTTCTGTACTATTTTCCAGTTTGTGACTTTTCTAGTTATATGTAACTTACTAAAAATCCTCTACTGTTCATAGGATTTTCAGAGGCCTGTTATTTAAGGAGTGGATGGCCAATCCTGCTTCCTACTCTCTCTTAAACTGCGAGTTCTACTAAAACGTGGCCACCATGGATAACCCTTATGGCATTTGACCCAAAGCGGCATAGCTTTCAGTATCACAGCAACTCACAGATTATCTCAGTACAGCAAACTGACAGACAAATGCTATATCCATTAAAACAGTGTACTCCCAAACACAACAAACAGCCAATTTCGTTTGTAACTCTAATAGCAAATCAGTCTTCACATTAGACTTGAGGGCTGTAGGCTTAAAGTGAGAAGGACTTGAATAACTTGTTGGAGAAGATAAAGGAATGCACCTTTCAATATGGATTGCATCTCAATGTTAAGAAAACAGATTTGGGAGCTCTGGTTGGCCTTGCGGCAAGAAGCTGCACTGCTGTTTAAATCCACTGGATGCCCCGCTGGAGAAGGAGGGGCAATATCCCTTTGTGCCAGTCGAATCCGACTCGATGTTACACAATAAGAAAAAAAAATCCACAAAAAACCAAGATTCTTGCCACTGGACTGATTGGCAACATCATGATGGATGGAGAAGAAATTAAAACTGTCAACAGCTTTATTTTACTTGGATCCACAATTAACACTCTTGGTAACAGTAGTCAGGAAATAAGGAGACACGTTGCACGAGAGTTTGCAGTTCAGGACCTCTACAAATTATATGAGGAGTAATGATGTCAGTTTGAGGACCAAGGGATGTCTGATTCAGGCCAGGGTCTTTCCAATCACTTGCTATTCATCTGAGAGCTGGACAGACGAATTGACACCTTTGAGCTGTGGGGTTGGAGAAGAGCCCTGAACAGCCCATGTACTGCCAAAAGAACAACTTTGTCTTGGAGAGGGTTAAGTCGGAGTGCTCTTCAGAGGCAGGAATGATGAGGCTTTGCCTCACATACTTAGGGCACATTGGTAAGAGAGGTTATTCCTTTGAGATGGACATCATGCTTGGAAAAGTGGAGGGACAGTGAAGGAGAGGAAGGACCCTTGACAGGGTGGATTGACAGCGACTACAGCAATAGGCTTGAGTGTGTCAAAGATTGTGAGAATGGCACAGGGTAAGACAGGGTTCAGAACTGTTGTTACTAGGGTCACTATGAGTCATACTTGACTCGACGGCACCTAACAGTAACAACTCCTAGTGACCAGTTCTTCAATTCTCAGCCTAAATATTTGTCAAAAATTTATACTCTTGACTTGGACTGACGTGTATTCCTGTTAGGTGTTCCCAAATAGGATGTTAGACATTTGAATTTCTAGAGCCTGTAAGATCAGCCACATAGTGAATACCCAGAAAAAGTTAATAAGAAATGACAGCTTTGTAACTCAGTCACCCATTTTTACATGTGACTTAGTTACTGATCTCATATCCTGATTTATAAAACCATACACCAATCACTTTGAAGCCTCAAGAATCCTTTTTTCCTCCAGAGGGAAATGTGAGAGACAGAGATATCTTAACTCATGTTAAGCAAAATTTCTTCCTTCTCTTCGGGAGCTTTGGTAGTGTGGTAGTAAGGAGCTGTGCTGCCGTCCCAGAAGGCATGTGATTCAAACCCACCAGCTGCTCTGTGGGACAAAGAGGGATGGTCTCCTCCCATGTGATTTACTGCCTCTGAAAACCCACTGGAAGGTCAGTTATGACAATATATAAGAACAACAACAAACCTAACAACAATTCTTTCTCATATTTAAGACCCTTGCTGTTCTGAAGAAGGGATGGTGGATCCTCTCTCATCCACAGCAATATCTCAGTTTGCCTTCTTTTTATTCACACTCCTTAATGCGAAGGCCTCCCCTAACCCAGAAAATCCTTAGTGCTGAAAGGTGCTTTTCCTTTGTCGCTTCCTCGGCACCTTGGGAATAAACAAATAATTCCTCTCTAGGCCTGGACTTCTGTGCTGTCACTTCTGACAGCTGAAACGCCTTGAGGGAACCAGCAGTTTAGCATCTCTGAGGAGTGAATTGTAAATATAGATTATCAGGACCAAATAAACTGTATTTTAACAAGCCTGCAGGGATATTTCAGATGTTTGCTGAATTTTGAAAATGCCTCCATAGTGATCACTTCAGCAGCACATATTGGAACAATACAGAGAAGATTGCTATGGCCCCTGTGCAAGGATGACACCCAAATTTGTGAAGTGTTCCACATTTCTTTTAAAAAAGAAAATGTCTCCTTAGAGAATTCTTTATTGACCTAAGGAATTTAGCTTTTTTCCCCCCTTGTAAGACATTGTCAGATTTACGTGTTGTTGTAAACTCTTTTACTTATTCCACCTCTAGAGTTCAGAGTTTATAACATTTTACAGGATACCAGCTGTTCACTTTGTCTCATTTCATAGAGTTTTTCAAGGCAGTTTTTCTTTTCTCTGGTCCATAGGCAGTTAGTTGCACTGCTCACCTAAAGGCTGCATCTCTCTGACGTTCAGATCCACCATGAACTGAGAAACACAGGCAAACACGTCCCATTTGACTGTCGTCTCAGAAATCAGTGGTGTGCATTCACTAATGTACATGGTATTGCTATTCAGCATAAGATAATAAGAAATGTTAATCTTGCTTTTCACTAACTGTCATTTTGGGATTATTTGTTTATTCCAGGTTCCTTTCAGATGCACCACGATGATGGCCTGGCAGATTCTCTCTTTTACCCCAGTACCACAACGAATGTCTCACCATTCCCAGGGAAAAATGATCCTTTCCAGAACATTTATGGTATGATTTCTCCAACCGTGTTTATTCCTTAATTGCAAATGATGAAGTTAGCCACTAGGCAAAATCGTGCATAAGGATCTGGCTCTGACAAGACTCTCTAGTCAAAGAAGAGACTTTATAGTTAAGCTGCTGAAGAATTCATTTCTTCCTCAAAGGACTTAAATCCTACAATCTAGGGCCCAATTTTATCTTCACATTTTACTGTTTCATGATTTGAGTAAATTAATAACCTTTCAAAATTTTAATTTCTTTTTCTATAAAATGATTCCAGTACTAATTTCTACCTTAAAGGTTGCAGTAGTACTTTTTTGTCTATAAAATAAGTCCAGTACTAATTTCTGCATTATAGATTGCCAAAATAGTTAAGCAGAATTATGCCATAGTACTTATGTAAGAAAGTCTGGGGAGCAAGTCTCTGAGGAGGTACACTGCTTACCCAAAAGCTGTACCTCTCTGGCAGTTCACGTCCACCAGCAGCTCTCTGGCAGAAAGAGGGAACATCACCTCTCCTGGGATTTAAAGCCTCTGAAACCCACTAGAAAGTCAATTATGAGTTGGTTCCAACTCCACAACATTGAGAGAGAGGTATAAAAGTACTTGCATAGTATCTGCACTGTGTATAACTCCTGTCGATCCTAGATACAAATACTAGTGCCTTCTCTCCTGGGTTTTGTTCACTTTTAACATAAATGTAATCCTGATACCCATCAAGTCCCATTTCAAGCAGTGCTTCATCATTTATATTATATAATTTATATAATAAATTACAATCATCTAACAACTTAAATCATTGCTATCAGAACGGATTCATAACAGACCCTCGAGCTGTGACTTGAACAGGCCAAGATTTCCCATCTTTCTCCAAAGGAACCCCTGGTTAATTTGAACTGCCTTTGGGCGAGCAGCATGCCACTCCCTAAAGACTACACCACCAGAGATTGATTACCTCTTAACATCCTAATTATGTTTCATATATGCTTTTCTTTGAATGGAAGATCTCTTGGAAAAGGATTTCATGATTAACTTATTTTCCATCTGTTAGCTCTAACTCCTATTCTTTCAGGCCACTACCAGGTACTATGTACTTGTAAAACCCTTATTCTGTCTGGTTTAGGACATCATAATGATAATACTTTGATACTTTTCTACTTCTTAATAATACGTTAAAAATTTTTACAATAACAGTATTGTTGGAAAGGCAGGCATCGATACTATTTTACAAATAAAGTAAGACTCACAGTTCTTTGCTATACATCATCATATTCTGGTAGTTTATGGTGTTGGAATTAAGAGGTAAGTTTTTGGTATTTTGAATCTTCCACCATAGAAGACAGCCAGTATATATTTGTTAATGGTGCTGCAGGGGTATGATACTATGCCTTCTGTTAACAGCCCAAACCTGAAGAGTTTCAACAGTTTTTTTTCTTTCAAACTTTATTGTTTATTCATTTACCGTTAAGTCTGTGTTTATAACATGTACACTGATCATAAATGTCAAATGTATATTTCCTTAGTGCTTATGGTGACCAAGTTTCAAAATATCTTTATTTGTATTTCAATATTAGGTATGCCTCATTGTGACACATTGGCTTCAGCGACTGGTGATGTTCTGCAGGGGTGGTCTGTGGAAGCCCCCAACTCTCCATACTCCACATCCTTCTTTCCCCCGGACACTAGTAACCAATCTCTGCCGCACACGGAAGGTAAATGATCTGCATCTTCGTTTGTCAGTTAGTGATGGCAGTGTCAATTGTTTCTATAAACCAGCAGATATTTTTCTTAGCACCTTACACCCCATAAAGGTAAAAATGTTAGAACTATCAGAGATGTTTTTAAGCTTCTGTGATGGAGTCAGATCCGTGGGCGGCAAAAGCAGTTTATGGTCCACTTTGAGTCAATAGAGTGGCCAAGAAAACCTTGTAGAGCTGTTCTTCTCCATAATATATGAGGTACTCAAGAGGTGGTATTGACTCAACTATGAGATGATAATTAAGAACAACAGCTTACTAATACCACAGCTAAAGAAGTTGTCATTATTGTGTACTGTTGAGTCATAACCAATTCATAGCTGGCCTTCTAGTGATTATTCAGAGAGAAAGACGTTGTCTGTCCTTCTGCCCCCTGAGCACCTGGTAGGTTTGAACCCTGTGCCTTTGGATTGGCAGCACAACTCTTTACCGCTAAGCAACCAGAGCTGCTTTGAGGAATTACAGTGGAGTTAAAACCCTTAAAGTCAATAGGCAAAGTAAATCCTTTCATAATTCAGTGCAGATTTTAAACCTTTGGGATTTTTTTTTCCTAATAAGGATCGCTGATGAGTTGCCCTTTCTAATACTGATTTTGTACTTAGTAATATATTTTGCTTTGGTGTTTTTTGTTTTTTTAATTGCATGTACCTCTATTTTTTAATTGATTTCCCCCTTTTTATTAGTATTATTAATTTTAATGAAATTTTACAGAGACTTTGGATTTCCATTCATTCATTGTTGCACTTTTCTCCCTGCCTACCCCTGCCCACCATTTTGCTTTGTTTTAAACTCCTGTTTTCTCTCTTTTCTGCTTTTCTTTCCTATACTGTATGTCCTCCCAGATTCTGCTGTTCTGAATGTAGGACTGTCAAACTGGGCAGAAATTCATTCACTGGACAACTTTTTAGTCATATTTAGGGTATAATGGTCATAGAAACTTCTGTGCTTAAGAAATGGGTCCTAAATTTCTAATTATTTTTCCTTAGAGCCAGCAAAGGACATAGAAATGGCATCACCAAAAGAGATGACACCCACAAAAGTATTGGAAATATTCCCAGCTGAAGAACCAGAGATGATGGCCCCAGTCAGGGACATGGAACCAACCACAGAAACAGAGATGACATTAACTAAAGACATGGAACCATCCACCAAATCAGATGTGCTGGCCAAAGACTTGGAACCAGATTTGTTTGCATCAGATTTGGCAGTAGCCAAGGACGTATTACCCAAAGAAACAGAGGTGGTCTCAGCCCAGGATGTTAAATTGCCCACAGAAGCAAATGCATCTTTGGACAAGGACATGGTACTATCCACAGACACAGAGGTAACTCTGGCCAAGGATTTAACAGGGCTTAAAGAAGCAGAAGTAAAGCCATCTATTAAAATGGATTTGGTCTCATCTGAGGGCTTGGTGTCACTCTCTCAAGTAGATGTGGCTAAGGACAGCGTAACAGCCACAGAAATAACCCCAGACGAGGAAGGGCCCCTGTCCCCAAGAAAAGAGGTTGCTTTCGACGAAGATGTGGCACTGCCTACAGAGGCAAAGGTAGTCTTAACCAAAGATGTGACTTCATCCCCAGAACCAGAAATGGCCTTGGCCAAGGGTGTTGACTCACCTCCAGAAGCAGAGGTAACCCCCATTAAGGATGTGGCTCCACCCCCAGACACAGGAATGACCTTGACCATGGATGTGACTCCACCTCCAGAAGCAGAGGGAACTCCAGTCAAGGATGTGACTCCATCCCCAGAAACAGAAGTGGCCTTGTCCAAGGATTTGGCTCCACCTCCAAAACCAAATGTAGCTCCTATCAAGGATGTGGTTCCTTCCTCAGAAAAGGAGATGGCTCCAGCCAAGTGTATGCCTCTGCCTCCAGAAGCAAAAGTGATCCCAGTCAAAGATGTGACTCCAACCTCGGATTTAGAGGTGGCCGTGGTCAAAGAGGAGACTCTGCTCTCAAAAGAGGCTGCCCTAGTCAAGGACATTCCTCTGTCTCCAAAAACAGAAGTAGCTCTGCTTAATGATTTGACGGTGCCTTCTGGAACAGATGTGACCCAAGCTGACAGTGTGACTCCAACCCAGGATGCTCTGCCACCCTCTGCAGCAGGTGTGGCACCAACTCCAGTTCAAGCCACAGAAACCACGCAAACACAGGAAAGAATAAGGGAAGATTCCCTGTCCGAATCTCTCCAGGATAAGGAACAGTCACCTGTTTCCGTGATTTCACCAGGTAGGAGTTTATGCTGGCTCTCAATATTTCTGTCTACCAGAGGGTTGTCTCCAGAAGGATAAGGGACAGACATCAATCCAAGTAGATAAAGGCACATTGGCCTTTGGAAGTCTGTTCATATTCCCATTCCTAGCAACTCATTCTTGCCCCTAGCTTCTCCAACCTCTAACACCTGACTTCTCTGCTCCTCTTCTTTTTCTTAGAGCTAATTGAAATAAGAGAAGAAAACATGCACACTTTTATTACTCTACAGTGACCTGTATCTGTACCCATAGACTCTGCCTTCTCTTCAGTTATTATAGGTGAATTTTCTCTGCTCCTAATTAAGACCAATTTATACCAGAGCCCATCTCCTCTTGCTTACTTATGTATATAACCTTAACTATTCCTTTTCTAGTCTTGTACACATTTTCTCCCATCAATACTGTATCATTCCCACCAACATAGAAGTGTTATTTTTCCTTTCTTTACAACAAACCCAATGCCCTCCTCTAACTGCTGTTTCTTTCTCTGCTGCCCATTATAGTACAATTCTGAAGAAACTGCCTGACTCCAGTTTCTGGCAGGTAGGGAAATAGTTTCAGAAACTGTTCTGTTTTGAAACGTGTGCTTTTTTTTCCACTCTTAACCTTTAGAACCAGTCACAGCCACCAGCCAGAACTACAGCTTGCCAACAGATTCTGTGTCTGAGGAACTAGAACAGAAGAAACAAGTCAGCAGTCAGCCTGATGAACTGTCTTCAGGGATCTCAGGTAAGTTGGGAAAACAAAACAAACTTTAAAGCAACTTTACACTGGAAACAGTGGGCAATGATAATAAATCTTGCCTCTGATTTTTGTGGTGGTGATCAACTAGTCTGATTAGGACAGAATTTCTCTTACATAAGTCTCTTTGCTGCATATTTTAAAATTACCATTGGATCAGCTTACAACACCTAAATTTTTATCCAGCTTAGCTGTTTTCTTGTGTGGTATCTGTTTACTCACCTGTAAAATGAATGTACTGGTCAGAATGAGCTATTAATTCTTGTAGTTATGGCCCATCATCATCAGCGTTGTTTAGGGATTATTAGAAATGCCTCCTCTCAAATATTCTGAATCAAAACCTGCGTTTTAACAAGATTCTCAGATTATTCTTATAAATGCTAAAGCTTAAGAAGCACTATTTTAAAAACGTACTTTTCAATATAAATGTCTATTACTCTGTGAACTTAACAAGTATGTTTTTCTAAATGGTAAACCAGAAGCATATGCCTATGATTATCGGCTTTACAATTCTTTATTTACTTTTCTGTATCTGGTCAGAAGGTGAGCACATTGAGGGCAGGGACCAGATTTGCTTCACTTAGAATCCCTAGAGCTTTGCACGGCATTTCAAACTTAATAGGAACCAAAAAAAAAAACTTAATAGGAACTAAATAAACATTTGCTTTTTAAATATTGTTTTAGTGACCCTCAGCATATCAGTAAAAATTTATCAGATGTTGTGTGCAGAATGTGTCACACTACGGCACTTAGATGCTTTAGCCCTGGTCCTTGCCTTTGGATTACTATAATCTGTTTGAAGAAAGAAGGTCAGGAATGAACTCTAATATCAAAGATTTCTAAAACAAAATAAATAAATTACACCAATTTGCTGCTGATTAATCATCGCGTAAGTGTTATTTATGCTGTAGAATACTGTGTCCCAGCAAGTTTTTGAGAAAAACAATTATTTAAGTAGAGATGAGGATTGTGGAGAATGAAAAGCACAAGAACAAAAGTGCCTGTTTAGATATTTCCATTGTCTTTGAAATAAATTCGCTGGATCATACTTAGCAAGAGCTACTGTGGTCCTGCTCTTCATGAGACTTCCCAGGCAGGGCTTGGATCTGCACTGTATCGCTTTGCCTTAGGGGAAGAGATTGGGACCAGATGACACCCTAAAATATTCTCCAAGAGTACTCATCCTACTTGGTATATAATTCGTTAGCTAGCCTACTTGATCTTAAGTTTATATCTTGGTTTTGAAAGGGCATTTAGAAACAGAACTTTGAAATGTCAAATTTTTGTCTTTCAAAGTAGGAAACTGTCATTCTAGAATGATGAGAATTTTTTCCCTTTCCTTTGACCAAAATACTAATTCAGTATTCAGTATACTGGAGTAAGTCTGACCTTTTGTTCTCTTTACCAAAATTGATCTGGTTAGTTGAAAAATCCCTAGTATGCTGTTGATGACAGATTCTCAGAATTGTAAATCCTGTCTAAAATCTTGTGTTTTTTATTCAGTCAATTAATAAATGTCACCCATAAAAGACAAAGCATGTTCTATTGTCTTAAGCACCCAAGCCTTCTGGACTATTAAAGATTTTCAAGATAGCCTCTAAAGGCTTATTATTTTGTTGTAAAATTGAGACTTACTATTAAAAACAATGGGGAAATCTGGTGTTTATAGGCAGTAAGTACTTAATGTGTATTTATAAATAGATTAGACGACTTCAGATTGAAATTTCTTAAGAAACAATAACAAGGAGTTTTTGTTTGGAATTTTAGCCAACTTCATGTATTGCAGGTACCCCTTCCATACAAGCCAAACAAGTGTGCAGACCCAGTGACCGCAGGTCAGTCCGGCCCAAGCCTGCCAGGGTCCCTTCTGAGCTGCTGGGAGGCTGTCCTCCACAGAAGACTCTTGATCCCAGTCTGGGCCCCTGTTCTCCGTCTGAGTTGGGTTGGGTCTCAGGTTCATCTTCTTTTGGTGAGCCTGGGCACCAGAGGAAAACCACACAGGTGGGCTTCCTTGAACCGCAGAGAAATGTACGGGATGCCTGGGATGTAGAAAGCACACCACCGATGATGATGAAGAAAAAAAAGAAGAAACCAAAGCAGAAGAGATATTCTCAGCCTCGGACAGGAGGATTTGGGGATGATGACAGTGCAGACGAGCCCAAAAGTCATTCCTTTATAGCTGACCCTAAACAATCTGGTGTCCTCCCCAGTCAGTCTACCACCATGGGCACAGAATATGGACCTGTGTTCGGAGAAAACTTAAAAAAGGAGTGTGTAGTTGACTCCAGATCAGCCAGACTGGGAACTGATAGCTTTGTCCCGGAGGATCTCGGAGTTCCTTTGTGTCCTTCAGAAGAATCTCCTAAAACAAAATTGAATTCTCAGCCCAGTCTGAGATTACAGCCAGAGGTCAAAGTTAACAAGGAAGTACCAATGAGCCAAGGGAAATCCCTGCACGAAGAGGAACACAAACCACAGCCTGTGCCCCAACTGAAGACTCCTGCACGTAAAAGCCAGGGAATAAGCCCTGACAGTGTGAAAGGACCTCCTTCAGAGATTTCTCCATGCCCCTTAGACGCTCCTTTGGAGGTCAGACCCAAAGAGAATTCCTCTTCTGTTTTAAACCAGGAGGTAAAGGGTCATGTTTCAAGACCCACAATAGCAAAAGAACTGCCCAATTTGGTACCTACTTTGACAGCAAGTGAACCATCAGAGTATATTACAAAAAAAGGGGATGATGAAAGTAAAATGACTAAACTGCAGAATACAAAACAGAAAGAGTTTTCTGAAGGAGCTGAAGAAGTTAAAGAACTGAAAAAGGAAGGTTTCCTCAAGGAAACACAAGGGAGCAGCAGCTTTGTTTCTGAGCAGCTCCAGGGTAAGGTGTTAGGCGAGGTCTCTGCGCTGGGAAATGAGCCACAGAAGAGAATTTCAGGTGAAGGGAAAAGCAGAAAGGGCAGGGGAAGTACAGGCAAGGTGAGAGCAAATCCCGGGAAGGGGAGGCCAAGGCCTGAACTGTCATTTCCTCTGGACAGCCTGAAGGACAGCACAAGTGATCTTGTGCCAAGTGAACCCGCCCTCAGTGCAGAAGGAAGGAGCACTGCAGATAAGAATAAGGAGCTGGCACTGGGTTCTTCAAAGCAGTCAGGGACCATAGTTGATCTTGCTGAGAATGTGGTGATGAAGGATCCCAAGGAGAAGACCAGCTCTGTTGTGCCATTGATTCCCTTGGGACATCAGCCAGGCATGACGCAGACTTGTAGTGATGGAGCCGAGAGAGGAGCTGTGGCCATAGATGTGGGTGCCAGTAATCAGCGCAAAGAAGCAAAGTGTTCTTGGATGGATTCTGAGACAGCTCCCCTGGTTTCTGAAAAGCCTAAAAAGAGAAGCAGTGAAGGCAAAATAAAAAAATTTAAAAATAGTTACTCCGTACAGCCAGCAGGGGTAGAAAGCATGACCGACATTGTTACTGCACCTTTTGTAGCTAAGGATGGAGGCACTGGTCAAAGTCCACATAAAAACACAGAGTTGGGACCTGATTTCTCCAAAAGGCATGGTCCTTTGTTCTCAGATATGCCAGTTACACCCACCGTGGCATTAGTTGATAGAAAAGGTATAAATGTTGAGGCTAATTCTTTCGAGCCTGGAATTTTGTGGATGAACAAAACAAGCCCAGTCAAGGATGATGTTGTCACTGAACCAGCAGCCACAGTGACAGATGTGAGCTGCCAAGACCAGATCCAGGGAGTAGAATTTGTTCCTCCAGTTCTGTCTGAGGAAAGTAAGACAGAGGCAGCTCAGGGACATACTGCACCAGCTGACAAAAGAAATAAGAGGAGCAATGATGGTAAAAGTAAAAAAGTTAAAAATAATTTTCCTGAGAAACCCATTCTGGAGAATAAGATAGATGCTGCAAAAATGCACGTTCCCATGGAAACCACAGGGGACCACAGACTTGAAGGACTGGGCTATGTGGACGAAAATAGAAATATTACATTTACCTGCCCCAGAATACCATCAGGGCTGATGAATAAATCATCCCCTCTGGAAGCAGTGGAGTCAGCCTGTGAAAAACTGTCCACTGCCACTCCTCAAATGGTAAAGAAAGGTGACCTGACAGAAAGTGGACAAGAAGCAGCCCCAGCCCAGCTTTCCAAATCATTTTTAGTAGATGGCCAAAGCAAATTCCCAGGGGGAGAAAAATCCAAGCCTCCCTCTGCAGTTGGTCCTTCCAAAGACACAGCAGTTGCCCTCATTTCCCCGGCAGCCTTAGAAACCATTAACAGCCAGGGAACTCACTCTTGTAAAAGTAGAGGTGAACTTGCTGATCCTATAAAAAACGAGGCAGGGATTGATGGAAAGCCTGTGGTGGGAAAATCTGAGTCAGTGTGCGGTGGTGCATCTGAGCATTCGTTAGAGAAAACCGCAGAGTCAGCAAAGGGACACACTCATCCTAGACCACCAGAAGACCACAGTGTGTCCAGAGAAATCCAAGTCCTGGGATGCAGAGCTGATCAGGGTGACTGCACAGCATATTCAGTGAAAAAAGAGATTGAGGAAGGAGCTGCTCTAGTTAAAGCCCCAAAACCCTATTTCCTTGAGAACCAAGATCCAAAAAGTAGAGACTCCAAGGACCCAGATAGTTTGAATGAAGGGAAGAATATAACTCTTTTGCCTCCAAAAAGTAAAAAGGATGAATCAAATGAAATTGATCTGGCTTGTAAAACCACAGAATTGGAGGACGTTTCCTTGGCAACATCAGATCTCCAGTCAGACTCCTCATGTCACAAAGTTGAAACTGCTTCTTCTGGAGAGGCAGATAAGTTAGTATTGACTGCTCCCAAGGGTCTTCAACTCCCAGAACCCAAAGAGAAGATCTTAGAAGCACCTCTTAAAAGATCAGAACTACCTGAAACTGTGGCACTGGGAGAAGGGAAGAAGGAAGAGAAGAGCAGAATGGCAGAAACAATGAAAGGCTACATGAGACCTACCAGGTCCCGGGGACTCACACCACTGCCGTCGAAGTCTGCTGGCCTAGAGCGAGAGAGATCCAAGACACAGAAGTCTGTTGGTATGAACCAGCCCTCGCTGGGGAAATGCTTGTGCTTGTGACTTTTGAGTCAGCATCAAAAAGGCGGAAAGCTTGTGCTTTGTTTCCATTCAGGCTCTAATCATCTTTGTTAATAATCGGTTTGTTGGCATGGAAATCTTACTACTAATTATTTGTTCTCTCTAAGGAAGGCACACTTCATGTCCAGCTTGAGGAGGCTAGTGAGATGTTTGCATGTCTCTGTTACCCAGCCCTGAACCTTGATTTTCAAAGGAAGTTACATTTCCAATAATAATTATTTAGCAGAAGACTTATTAAAAACTATTCCTTTTTTTTTCTTTTCCCCCAAGAAGACCTCTGTGCCTCCTATGTGCTAAAGATTCACAAGAGGAAAGAAAACATTTCCCATACAGCTGTGTGTCAATGTATATATTGGTTGTGCTGGTGGGAATCAATGTCCAGATTGCTTTTGGAGGAAATGAAAATGACCTGGCCCGGTAGAGGAAATGACAGCCTCAGCTGCCCTTTGGTAGGCACTGTTTCAATAGTGGAGAATTATTTCTCAGACATTGGTTATTTTTTTTTTTAAATCTCAAATCACTGAAATTTTTTTTAATATCTATTGACCCTTCATTGGTTTTTGAGGACTGTAACTCTTAATAGCCGGAGACTGCCCAACTTTTTCCCATAAAGTAGATAGTGGATTTGAACTGCCAGTCTTTGAACTCATGGCCCAACCTAAAATTCACTTCCAGTGTATTGCTGACAACCATTGGCCCACAGTTGCATATGGGGTAGAATTGGGGGCATAGTACAAGTAAACTTGCCCATATAGGAGTCTTCATAATTTTACCCTTTTGGGCTTTCTGCAGTTAAATAATTGGGATGAGATTAAGATTTACAAAGGTTAGCTTTCCCCCTCCCCTTTTTAAAAAATTTTTTCCATCTGTTCAATCAGGGCGTCCCTGAGGAGTCTGCCTTTCAAAGAACCTGCTTCTTGGCCTTTTTTCCACAACCTAGAGATGATGCTATTTCTTACTCACTGTTTCCCAGCTTGCATGATACAGCTACTAACTCCGGAAAAGTTAAAACATCAGTTGGCCTTGATAGCCAGTCAGGCATTTGATGAGACTTCATCTGGGTCTGTGTTCTGCATGGTGTGGACTTGTTCTTGGGAAAAGCTGGCACTGTGCATGAATTTGTACCCAGTGGAGAATACTTGTGGTGTAATTAGAGAACACTAAAGCTTGTCAGTTGCTTAAAAATACTTTTATCTTTTCATCTTTCTTCTATTCCCCTATTATCAAGACCACAAAGTGAAGTAGTGTGTATAGGGCTTTCTAGCATCTATTAGTGATCTCTGTTTAGGGTTTAGTTTTAGCTTCTAGGACAGTTCTTTAGTTTCATCTGTGTAAATTTTGTGAAAGCTTAGCCAACACATTTTGCTTGATAGTCCTGAAAGTATGCATTCTTATTCATGAAGAGGTGCTGGAGAGCTTTTCAGATCCTTCCTTAGCCAAATCAGACTCAGAGACTGTCTTATTAGTGCTGCGTGCTGCAAAGTGGCTATGGGAGGAGGGTGATAATATTGGGGAAAAACATTGACCATTTCTTTAAATTCTACTGTGGCATCTTTTTTTCAAAGATATTCTATACTTTCCCCCCCCAAAATAGAGTTCTTTTTACTCATTTTTAAATAAGAGGCACACATGAGACAAGGGGGTGTATACAGTAAAATAAAAGTCCTTTTACCTCTCCTAACAAATGACTTGACGGCACATAACAACAACAACAATCCTAAGCCCAGGTTTCTCTGTTCAAGATTTTATACATCATTCTAAATAATTTATTCAGAAAGAAGCAATGACATATTTTTCTTGGTTGGTGGTTTGTTTTCACTGAAGAGATATATATGTACTGCTCTGTGTGTTGTGTTTTAAACTCAGCCATATGCCTTTGAGATCTTTCCAAATCAATACAAAGAATCTCATTCTAATATAATCAGAAAAACCTCAAATTCAGTGCTGTTGAATGGCACACTTTCCATTGGGTTTCTGAGGCTGTAAACCCCAAAGGGACTTTATTTAAATTTTTAATTTTTCACCTTTTAAATCTTTGATCAATCTAGAAGTTGATATTTTGTTTGTTTTGTTTGTAAGATATAAGGTAGAGTTACTACATTACACAGTCATATTTTAAATAATCAATCTTAAGTACAAAGCTT